AACTTATGTTGAGTGAAATAAGCAAAGCACAGAGGGATAAATACTGCATGTGCTCACTCAAATGTGCGAGCTAAGAGAGAAAAAAGGAAGAAAGGAAAGACCACAGTAGTGCGTTGGTCTTGGGAGGTTGGGGGTAATTGGGTGGGGGACACAGGGTACAAATGCAATTTGTGGTAATGGGTATGCTGTCAGTATGAATCTGGACCTCACATCATGGGCATGGGGGGTGACAGTCAGGTTTGTATGTATCTCATGAATATTCATAATTGAAAACCAAACCAAAACAAAAAACATCCTCTCTCCAAATACCCTGAATGACATATTAGTTATCCTGGAAGAGCTAAGAAACATGCTTTTAAAAAGTTGGTAATATTTTCTTTTCTCAAAGGTAGGTTTAGCATTATTCAACTTCGTAAAGATCTATAACTATCCTAGTCATAGAGAAATGTTTTGTGTTAGAATTATTAACCCCACTATAAAAACAGAAAAAAAGAACCCAGCAAAAGCTTTCAGAAGTGCCATGTGTCCCTTGAATTTACTTCAAGGATTTAGTTTCTATAATAAATATTTTTATCTTATCTAAAGGTTAAAAGTTATAAGTACATGTTTTCCAGCTTTCTAGAAATAGTTCTCTAACATCAGTCAGAGATCTTTTCTCCCTCCCACCACCCCTCCACCCTTTTTCTTTTTATAACCTTTATTTCCTCTCTCTCAGAGAAACGATGATTGTTTTTCTAGATATTTCTAGAGTATTTCCCTTAGTGGTTCAAAGGACATTCTTGTCCTAATCTATTTATAGCTCTTAGAGTATTATTGATTCATTTATTCATTCTCTAAAAATATTTACTGTTTATCTGCGATTTACTAGTCCTAATAAATAAGAGCCCTGGTCCTCACTGATTTCTATTATAACAATTATGACAAGTAATTATAAGCAATTGCAAGAAGCAACAGACACACAAGTACAGGAGAATTTGGTAAGTTTTATGACAGAAGAAAGAAATAGTGATGAAGGCAGACATGCATGTAGATTTAAGCAACCAGAGAAGGCATCCCGGAGGAAGTGGCATCTAAGGGATGAGGACAGTGTGGATCAGTGGTTAAGAACAGGGGCCTGGACCTAGCAGCTGAGGTTTGGATCTTGGTTCTGCTACATAATAGCTGTATAGTCTTGGGCATGTTACCTAATTTCTTCTTATAAAACGGAGGTAAGGAAAGCAGTTTCTCTATGTGGCTGTTACGAAGATTAAATAAATTACATGCAAGAACTCAGAGCAGATAGTACCCAGCCCACGACCACTCTTCAATAAATGACAGCAGTCTCAATTATTATTAAGCCTCAATTATTATCAAGTCTTAATTATTATTAAGGCCTGAAGGATGAGTAGAAAGAAGTCAGCTAGATAAAGAGGGTGAGGGAGTAGAGTTCATGTATAGGAAGAAGGAACAGTTGGAGAAAGACCTCTCTGGTGAGAGAGTGAGTGGGTGTTGCTAGAACTGAATTGAAATTCAGTCTGGCTGGAACTTAGGGTGGGTGGAAAGGCAAGAATCAATAACTAGCAAGGAGGCTGGAGTGGTGAGCAGGGGATCGTGTGATTAAGGGCCTCATAAATCATCTGAAGGATCTGGATCTTATTCTAAAAGCAATGCAGAGGCAGTGAGGGGTTTAAGCAAGAGAAGGGGATTATGTTTCAGTGGATACAGAGGTTCAGTTTGGGATGATGAAAATGATCTAGAGATGGATGGTGGTGATGGTTGTACAATAATGTGAATGTTATGCCACTGAACTGTACACCTAAAATTGGCTAAAAATTGTAAAGTTGATGTTACATATATTTTACAACAAAAACAAGAAGAAGAGGGATAAAATCCCTAGGCCTTTATTCCCAGGAATATTTAGAAGAAAGGTCACTGAAGGGAAGTATAAAGGCTGGCACGTTAAAGTTTCTAGAGAAAAAGATGATTAGCATCTACATTTTCTAAAAGATGAATGTTTTTGACCAAAAAAAACCAATGAAACTTACAATCACATCATTCCTAATACTTTTCCCCTTGAGAGAAATTTCTTTTTTTAAAAAAGAAAACTTGAACTGAGTTTAAATAAAAAGGTACATGCACCTCAAACTAGTTAAAAACAAAGAAATTAGAGTGTGGCTTAGTCATGTAAAATTCAGAGGTTGAGCTAAGTCTTTGCCCAAGGAAAAATGATGGTAAAAAAAAAATAGTTAAGGGCTCATATGAGAATACAGATAATGCTCGTTGTAATGTTTACAGCCAGAGATAGAAAGATAAGTCCTCTCCTGTTTTCTCCATGCAGCACAGTGAACAGTGGATGCTTGGCTAGAAGAACATTTCAGAATAGATGTTTTGTTTAGCTAAGTCAGGGGTGAAGTGACATGAAGGAAACTGACATAAAAATATGAGTGGAGCCCTGGGACATTTAAAAAAATAACATACTTGAGCTTCATTTTTGTGTTTGTTTATGTAATATTTGCATGTATTTGTAGGTGATATTTTTCTTTCTTTTGCTTGTAGAGATTTTATTATAAGATGATACTTTCAATTCAAAATGGTCATTAAACACCATCCCTACAAGTTGTGTGTATAAGTGCTCCATTTATCCTAATTTTTTAAAATCTTGGGGTGACTTTAATAGAGAAATGAGGAATATAAAATCACATAATTAGAGAAAGAATAAAATGGGATAATTATGGACAATTCACTGGAGAAATGAAGGCATAAATTGATTTTTGTATTTGAAATAACAGGAGGAGAAGCAGGCTGGAAAGCTGCAAACACTTCTGAAAAGAAGTGGAATGATTTTTCCTCTTCATTCTACCTCCCTGTTGACACAGAAGAGTTAGAACATGTTTGGACTTTTTATCTTTTTTCCTTTACCACTTTATCAAGGTTGGATTGACAAACAAAAAGCTATACATATTTAATGTATACAACTTAATGAGTTTAGAGATATATTTTCTTTTTTTTTCTCTTTCTTATTTATTTATTTGTACATATGTGTGGGATGCAGGAGGTATTTTTCCTCTAAGTTTCTTCAACAGAAACTAGAGTGAAAGGGGCCCGCCCGGTGGTGCACTGCTACAGTGCGCCGCTTGGGAGCACGGCGGCGCTCCCACTGAGGGTTCGGATCCCACATACAGACCGGTTCCCGCTCACTGGCTGTGCGAGGTGCGGGCGCAGCGCCGAGGGTTGCGATCCCGTTGCCGGTCCCGGCCCGGTACGGGCGCGACACTGAGGGTTGCGATCCGTTGCCGGACACGAAAAAAGACAAAAAGGAAAAAAAAAAAAAAAGAAACTAGAGTGAAAGACACTTGTTACTAATCTGGATTTTTTAAAAAAAAGAGGGTTGCGATCCGTTGCCGGACACGAAAAAAGACAAAAAGGAAAAAAAAAAGAAAAAAAAGAAACTAGAGTGAAAGACACTTGTTACTAATCTGGATTTTTTAAAAAATTAGGAAAACATCCCATGGTGTGCTGGTCAATATTTAACAAGCAGTCCTCCCCACCCCCTCAAAAGTATTAATTTACAGCGTTTGTGGATTCCAATTGTGTAAATCCCTCCTACTGTGGTCAATTTCAAGATATCAATATTCTTAACAATCTGCTACCAAAATTTCTACCAGTGTAGCATTTGGCTTTCAAGCCAGAACAAGGCAGTTGAACCACGTCACTGAAAACATACATTAGGAGGAAAATGAGAGATGGGAAAACAGGAAGAGAGATGGTTTAGACCCTAAGAGGGGGAGACAAGGCAAAGTGGGTAAGAGGGAAAAAATAGGCAGATAAAGTAAGATCTTAAGTAGTGATAGAGAAGTCTAAGGTATTTTGAGGAAACTTGGTTCACTTTTAACTTCACATCAAAACAACATTTGGAAAGGCCAAATGTATTCCACTTTTGACCCTTATTCTAAGCTATTGCTTTTGACATTTGTTGAATTATGAAGTTTAGGGAAAGTCCCCTTGAGAGATTACCAAGCAGCTTCCAAACACTGGTAGTGAGAGAGTTCCTGGGAAGGAAAGGAGCACAAATCTGCTTTTCCTGCCATAGGATGTTATATATCCTCCTCCTGTGTCTTTCCATGACATGACACAGTACAATTATTAGGGCTGGAGCAAGGGCTCCCCATTATTGGCAACAGTGAAGCCCTTTGATTCTTATCTCTTTTTGTGACACTTTCTGCTTTACTCTATAGAGTGCCATTTAAGTTTTTTTTCAGTAAATTAAAGTTAATTTTGTTTCGACAGTTTTAAGGATGTCTTTGAGTCATGGGGTGCTGCAAAAACCAGTTTGGGAAAGGTGCAGATGGAACCAGCCTGTCTGAATCCTTTGCCCACTTGACTGAGGCAAGTAAATATAACTTGAGCCACCCCACTGATGAGTTTACTTTTAACAAAAACATTCTCTGTTTCACTTTTTTTTTGCTAAGAGATGAAATGGCCCAGGCAAAATCGTAGGGTGTGTTACTTGACACCAATAACAAAGAACTGACCCAAACCACAGAAACCAAAGCATAGCCAAGTCCACAATTTCATGCAGAGTATTTCTTGTAGTTATTGGAGGTGTGTACTTTCTCCAGAGAAGCTTTAAATAAACACCTGTATTCCACTAGATATAACGTACACGTTTATTTATTTAAACTTACGGTCTAGCTGACAGCTTCAAGTCAGGAACACACAGATTGTCTTCTCCACAGTCCACCAGGATGTGAGCCTGTGTTGTGCAAACATGCATCAGGAATAATCTGGGAAAATCTTAATGACATCCTTTTTCTCAAAAATTCCAAACAGTTCCACAAATTAAAGCAAAACTTTCATTTCATTAGGCATGATTCTACCCAGTTCTATACCCTGTCATGAGGTGACCTTCCAATATAGGCTAGTTTACATAATAGCCCAGTTCAATCCATTCTGAAATGTCTGTAAAGAATGCTACTCTGGCAAGCTTTGAGGATTATAGTCTGTATTGCTCCCATTACAGCCACATTTTGGACAAATTAAATATTGGCTGCATAAGTGGATGGGCCTCTGAAAACACAATGATGCACTGTTTCAGGAAACATGTTAGGAAAAACTCCCAAATATTACATGTCTGTGTGCAAGAATGAAAAATTCAGGAGCTGGCTTTCATCTTAAGGTCACAGGAACTACACCTTCTAGAGCATGAGTGAGAAAGTGCCACCAAAGACTGTCAAAGACTTACCTGTTCTCTAACAACATTTTCCCTGTAGTGGTTCAATATTGGTTTCACTTCCAGGCCTTGCTGGCTTTCATCTTAAGGTCACAGGAACTACACCTTCTAGAGCATGAGTGAGAAAGTGCCATCAAAGACTGTCAAAGACTTACCTGTTCTCTAACAACATTTTCCCTGTAGTGGTTCAATATTGGTTTCACTTCCAGGCCTTCTTTAAAGGTGGATTCATCCAAACTGTAATTCAAACTAATGTTGATTGGAGATAATTTATCTCGGAATTCAGCTTCATCCTAGGAAAAATAATCACAAGTTCAGGAGAGGCTCTGTGAAATAGCTGCAAGATGTGAAAGGCAGGTGACACTTGACTTTGGCAATGAAAGTAAATAATGAAGCAATTATCATTGCAGCAGGCTTAGATACATGCTGATTTCTGTGGTGTATAGTAGCCAGCATAATTAATACATGTTCAGTGATGAAATCACTTAGACCCGTGACTTCAAAAAATATGCTTCTAGAGGTGATCTGTAGGTTCTCCAGACCTTCAGCAATTCACACAGAATTGGTCCAGTCATAAAGTAAAAGATTATAATTATAAATCATAAGTGTCATGAAAACCCATCATGGATTAGAACTTTTGTTTTCATGAGGTTGTCAGAATGTATGAGTTCTCTTGGGCTCAGAGGAAGAAAGCATCTTGATTTTCTTCCTCTCTTATCAACTTTTTAAGCCCTTGCTTGCATGAACTTCAAAACACCTTCAGCATAGTTAAGTTCTCTTGGAAAAAGAAAAGGAACTCCAGGGTTGAGCTCCAAGCAGCAAGAGCTAAGCACACAGCAGGCATGTCATCTTCAGGGGGTGCTGGTCACAACCATAATAAGATGCAAGGGTCATGTGCACAACTTTTCATTCTTGAGTATGGTTGTGAAACTTTGGTCTTCCCTAGGATTCCCCATGTTAACCAAGTCCCTTAAAGGAGGAGAGGAAATGAGAACATGGGATTACAACCTAACAACCAGCAGGGTGAAGATGGATAACCGTGTAATAAATATTATGGCCTTGTTAATTTCATGGTAGGTTTTGGAGTTATTGCAAAAATACATTACTTAAAAAGATAAATATAACTTACTTTCAGTAAAATCTTTGAATGCCTAAATGTTTTCCTGCATCAGCTCTGAAATGCACATTGATAAGATCTAACAAGATGTCTTCACATAGGATAAAAATTCAAATAAATTGTGTCGAACTTTCATGTTTCTTGTGGAGGAGGCAGTTCGAAATGAAAACCACCTAAATTGAGGGCTATTATCAAGATTTTGTTCGAAACAAAAAGAAAGCTTAGAAATGAATAGCAACACATCATTAAGTTAGTTGAAGTCAGGGTCAAGAAGAGAGTATTTGACCTTTAAATAAGGTTTCCTCCTACAAAAATGAAAATAGACAGATGGGGATCTAGGTAGACAAATGCGATGGGTAAATGGAGAAAAGTGGTTGGAATGTGGATTTGAATGTGAGAGGCCAGAAAAGTGATTTCTGGAACACTTACTCGAAGGTAAACGATAAAGTCCTGGCATTGAAGGGGTTTCTGCCGCTTTATCACAAGAGGGAAGACGAGATGGGACTGATGGTTATCAAGGAAGAGTGTTCGTTTAATGGCTCCTTTTTGTTTCAGGGAATCTAATTGCACCTCAGCCATCAGGGCTAAAGGACAGAAATAAAGGGAATATAATCAGGGCAGGAAAACTACTCACTGAACACAGTACTCTATCAGAAATATGAATTCCTATTTCCAATTGCTTGTTCAGAAAACATTTTTTCATAGTTGGATCAAACATGATACATGAATGAAAAAAGTTTTATAAAATACTCTCCAAGCTAAATTTTTATTTTAATTTCATTAAGAAGATGCATTGCAATTATTGTCTCAAAAATGTTATGACATTTAATGAATACTGAATAAAACATTAAACATAATTTTACTTTCAAACAGATAGTTTAGTCTTTATAGAGTATGAAAACAATTTTTGTAATGGTTTTGCACATAGTATTTTCCCCACAATTATGTTTTTACAGATAATATTAATACCAATTATTGAAGCAATGTTTATGTAGAAGGTTCCATATATGCAACAGAAACCTTGGTATTAACGAAGAGCTCTTTAGTTTTACGTGGTCTGTACAGAGAAATGCTTACTGTTCAATCTTCTTAGACAGCATAGGGGTGTGAAAATGAAAACATGCTCACCTATTGTGTTTGAAATGCTCTGGCCTTCTACAGATGCACATACTCTTAAAGAAAAGCTATGGAAAATAATAGTCAATAATGTATTGGTTAATAAAGCTTTGAATCTGAAGTTGAAAACTTCCTTTACTTTATCCTAGGTAAAATGAATACAGCACTTTTCCTCTATACTTCTAATCACACACACACACACACACACACACACACACACACACACACCCTTCCCACCAGTCGGCCACAGCACTAATACAATTACTACAAGCAACATTATTACTTGGAAGGTAATACTTGAAAATATTACTAGAGATTAACTGACTTAATCAATTAATCAATTACCTGCTGCCTTTATTCAACAAATACATATGAGTATCTTCCATGTGCCAGGGAGTAAAGAACGAGGCAGCACAGCAGAGGAATAGCTAGTGGGAAGGACTGGAAATGAGCAAGAACATGGCCCCAACTGAGGAACCTAAAGAAATGCAGTGTGGTTGCATCACTGAGCAAGATGTAGGAGATGAAGCTGGCTTGGTTGACTGGTGGGGAACCAGGCTTTGAAAGTCATGGAACACCATGGTATGCTTAGTTCAGATCAACCAACCATGGTATGCTTAGTTCAGATCAACCATTCTTCTTGAAAGGAGATTGGAATTTGGTGGATCCTTGCTAGGAATGGGGTAATACTGGAGGTGGAGAGATGAGAAAAGGTGGGAGAGAAAGAAAGAAAACGAGCTCAGAGCGGCTGTCTGAAGCTAGGTAGGCACAATGATGCGGGTATGAAGACCATACGGAGAGAAAGGATGGATGCCCATGAGAGACAACTCTTTGCTTTGCCTTGAACATGCCCTAAACACGATCCAAGGAAATGTCTTGGATGGCTTGTAGGATGACCTGTACTCAGCCCTGCTCTGTGGCCATGGGGGGACCAAGAAATGACCAGTTGTCTCTGCCTGACTTTGCTGAATGTTCCCACCTTCCTCCTGAAAAACTCCAAGCTGTAACGGCAGCATTAGAGATTGAGCCTTTTCACATTTCTAAGAAAGTAAGAATATAAGAAAAGACTTAAGTATGATTAATGACAGTCTTAAAGTTTTTACTAGTTAAATATTATAGTATGATTTGACTATTTCTACAGCATTCAAAAGGAGTAAATAGTCCATAATCATACTTTAATTATGTGTCAGCTTCCTGTGTCAAACATAATGAAAATGTGTCACATCTGGGATTCATCTATCTACCGTGACCTCAGTCAATGTCTCCCTTCAGGGTAAATAATTTGCCACATACCATTAAGCCAAAAGTTTCCTGAGATGTCTATGCTATTACAAGTGTTTATACCACTTCCCCAGAGAAATCACAAATTCCAACCCACTTCTGCTTCAATTAGAATTATTCAAGAAAGATGAATAGTTAATCACATCTTTAAATTCTGTAGCAGGTCTGGCTTTCAAAAGTGGAGTTTTTTTTCTGTGTCCAACTTTTTTGGTAAAATCATTTATTGATCATTTTTCTATTCATCATTACACGGCATAGACAAAGATCATTTCTAACAATAATCAACATGTATAAAGTAAAATAATATCAGATAAAGTATTTTTAATACAATTCAAAAGCAATAAAATGTTTGAAAAAAGAATAAATTAAATCTATAAAAGTGAACACTATTTCCTCTGTGTGGGAGGGTATTTGATTGATAAATGATATCAGCTGAAGGATTACTCCTGATTTACGAATTATGTGTCAGTGTAAATAGACATTTCTTTCTTATTTCCTCCTTTCTGTTACCCTGATGTTATTAACAACTGGATAACTTTAACTTTTTTCATATAATTTTAATATAACCAATACATGAATTATTGGTAATAGCACTCCAACCTAAGCTTGCACATTTGTAGATGTCTTTCAGCAGAAAAGAGCTTATTAAGTCATAACTTTCCAAGCACTTTGTTCTGATATAAAAAGAAAATCTCAAAATTTTATACCAGTGAACTTATTTTTTTCTGAATTTAGACAATACGTAAATTACACGATATAAAAGCGCATACCTACACACATGCAAATAATGTATTTCATGTACCATAGAATTAGGTCTACACCTAATTATAAAGTACACTTAGATTGTCAGGGAAAGCTGTGAACTATCATTGAACTACGATTAAATTTCAAACTAGAACTTATGATCATATTCAGTATGTTTCATTAGTTTGATTGGAACAACAAAAAAAAAAAAACCATAAAATCAATCCAGGTCCTTCATCACGTAAATTCTAAATAAAAATATTTGTCTGTGGTTCTTCTGATACAGTCAGAAGGCAGGGCAAAATACTCGTCTCAGCCCATGCACAGCTGAAATAGTGTTTCTGTGATGTGACTGTGCTCATAGCCATGTATCATGGAGAGGGAATAAGACGAATGCAAAACATGATTTAAAAGTACAAAGCAATTCGTTTTTCATTCTCACCAATTCACTCCTAATTCCAATGATAGCAAATATCAGATTTTACACAAAGTCACTCATATCTGAAAAGTTTTTTCAGGTTTGACAAGTAGATAGTTACTGACTTTTACATTTATAGAATGAAAGATTTCACTAAATAGTTTTTATTTTTCCAATTGGTTAGCAACCAATTACATTAATATTTATTGAGATCGCTTTTTTTTTTCCTTTTTCTAACTTGGAAATGCCAATAGAAGATACTTTATAAAACTACACAGTTGTTTGAAAAACACAGAAATCCACACTGATGGAAGTGAAGAACTATTTGCCATTTAGAGTTTACATATAGTTGTCAGATGTACAGTACAAGGTTATATCAAATACAGATAAAATTATAGGAAAGAAAAATCAACAGAGGCCTTTCAATCATTTTGGAAAACTAATCTAAATTCCTAGAATAAAGGAAAAAAAAAGAATCAGAGAAACATATTCTATACTGAACAAATGTTAACTTCTATCTTCTAATACTCTGAGGTACCATTCAAAACCTCTGCAGGTAAAAATAAAATGTCATTCAGAAAATGTATGCAAAAGAATCAAGTAAATAATTATAAAGGGATATATTACACATTTGTCCATAAAACAAATTGCATTTTATCTTAACATGATTTAATGCGACAAGAAAATGGCTCATGAAAAGAAAGACATTTTCTTGTTAAAAAGTAATATTCTTTCCACAAAACCAATCAGGTCCCATAAACTGTTAAAACCATTTAAATCTTGTAACAATATCCATAAAACCAAAAATCCTTAGAAAAAATTATCTAGTTCAAAACAATAATATTCTGTACCAGAGTGTGCCAAATGCTCAAAAGAGTCCAGACTAGCAGTGCATTTAGCTGTGAAGGTGTGAATAGAAGATTCCTTGGGGGATACTAAACTTCTAATACTCATGCTTAAAGTAGCTCTCACAGTTCATTTATTGTTCATTTAGTGCCAGGGTAAGGATAAATGCTGGCTCTTTCACATATTTTCTCAGATCAGGTTTTCATTATACTATTTTATGGTTTCCAGCCATTTTAAAATGTGCCCAGGGCATTTCCCAACTGCTCTCAAAAGCAGTTAAAGGAAAGGACACGTCTCTCCACCTTGCAAGCTCCAAGCAGCAGAATGTTTTCCAAAGAATTCTTCAAGGTCTTCCTTACTTCCCACCCTCCCCCATCCTCAAAAGCTTTGACTCCGGTTATGAACTCCTGTCATAAGGCCATCAACAACACGCTAAAATTGGCTGGAAATAACTTCTTTGGGTCAAGACTGGTTTGTTCTGTGTTCTGACATTCTCAGCAATTGAACATACTGTCTGAGTTAGACCACATCTCCTGGAAAACGAGGGCAAATTTCAAACACACCAAGAATTTGCTGATTTTTCAGAGAATATATCCTGATGGCGTTATCCAATATAATAACTTCTGACCCTTGAGGACCTACATATTGAGGAACAAAGTGGTATTTTTTTGAGCTGTGTTACAATCAACTTGCATTTTGTACTCCCTTCAGATGACTGACAAGATTCAGAAGGAACACTCTCAGAAGCTGTATAAGCCATGTTCTCCTTCGGTCCCAGAAAAGGAATCATAATTCTATTACTATTCCTGATGTTGAGTTCATGGCCACAAAAATATAGTTTAGGGCACAAAAGTCTCTATTTTTATAATGTTTACCTTCTGTCTAGTTATACATGCTGTTACAAAACTGACTGAGTTTTCAGCTCAGGAAACTGAGTAATTTAACCCAAGCTTGACTATTAAAATAAAAGGGACATTATATATGAGTATGTTTGAAAGTGGTACCCATAAGCATATGCAAATTCTAGAGTCAAAGTACTTCATTATATTTTTAGTCTGGTTAACATTTACTTTAGTATGCCAAAAATCTAAAACAGATCTCCAAGATTTGTTTTACTGGAAATTATCCCATATGTTTTTATGCTTCTTATCTCAGCTAGAGCCTCTAGATTGGAGAAGTAGCTTTCAAGTAATGTTGATAGCCAAAGATCAGCATCATGTCATAGATCCTTTTGAAAGACTAACACCTTGCTCCTCAAACTTGGTCCATGGACCAGCAGCATTGGCACCATCTTGGAGCTTTTTCTAAAAACGCAAAGTCTCAGGTCCTACCCCAGACTTACTTAACCCAAATCTGCATTTTTCCACAAGATTCCCAGGTGATGTGAATCCACACTAGAGTTTGAGGAGCATTGAACTAACTCACCAGGCCACAGATGTCAGAGAGTCTGGAATCTGGCAAGTTTTATTTTCAAGATTGATAATCATTGGGTGTAGAAGAAGCTGGGCATCCACAGTCACAACTGGCCTTGCTCTGCAGGGAGAAAACACAGAGTTTGAATGAAACACATGAGTGACAGGCAGAAGCCCACTTTAGTGAATATGGAACTCCACTCGTAGAGGCCATTGCCAACATTCTCAGCCTTTGTAACAAGAATTTTGTTGACTGCATGAACAGGTGGGCACCAGACTCAACTAATTACCTCAAACATATCTGGTAGCACATAAATACAAATAAAGAAGGCTATGGGTCTGTCAAGCTCGGTTGCGTTCACAAACCTGCTTTCCTCATGGAGTGGGCTCACAGTATTTTGATGTTAGTGCTGTGACATACTGCTCTGTGATCTTCTGGATGAGCTATATCCATGTTTGAAGAAATACATCATCTCATAGTCACTTGTACCTCTAAGTACGTGAATTTTACTGTCTCATTGATGGATAATTTTTTATTTCAGTTGATAATTTTCTTCTCTCTCTTTCTCTCTTTTTTTTTCGGGGGGGGGGTCTTATACACTAACATATCCATGATTATATTAAATGTAAATGGTCTACTTTTATTTATAATACCCCAAATCCGGAAACAGCCAGTTCAGTTACCAGGGATTAGGGATTTGGGGGTAGGGCAAAGGGATAGTGTAATTAAAAAGGGCCAGCATGAGGGAGGTCTTTGTGGTGATGGGATAATTCTGTATCTTGATTTTGGTGGTGGTTACCTAAATCTGAGGTAAGAGCCAAGCACTGGAATTCTAAACCAATTTTCCAGGTGATTCTGACATGCAGACAAAATTGAGAAGAGGGATTGATACAAACTCCATTCCAGCCACCCAGATGAAGATAACAAGATGAGAGAATAAGTCATGGGGGAAGGGAGCAGAGAAATATTTAAAGCTTGCTTCTAAGATAGATAGCTGAGAGCCCAAGTCTCCAGATGACAGCAGGAAATGATGCCATGTTGGAAAAACTTTCCTCTGACATAAGGGAAGGCTGTGTCTTGGGGCAGAATGTTATTGGGTTCACAGCTTCAACAATTTCATGAGTAATACACTGGGCCCCACTGGGATTTTTTCCTAAGCTCTTTTAAGCTATTTTTTACCTAATTTTGTTTTCAATATTGTGTTAGCTCCAGTCCTTGAAAAAGCAGATGATAAAATGGGATTAGATATGCAAGAAATTTATTGGGGCAAACACCTATGAGGGTAAAAGAGGAGAGAGTGGAGGAGGCTGGGAGTTTCTGATCTCTGAGAAGACCGATGGAAAGAAAGAGGGTCTGATAAGAAAGTTTGACCATGGCAAAGTTCCCCATGAGAGTTCAACATCTTGCAGAAATAGGCCTGCATTTATGTCCTTATTGGGCCTAGTAATTGGCTGGGAGCAGCTCATGGAAAATATGACCTTGGCACAAAGCTGGTGGTGGATTCAGAGCATAGCAGCTAGTGCTGTGAATGAAATGGAGTGAATGAAATGCTGGAGTGAAATGGAGTCCATTTCATTCCAGCAGCTCTGAATGGTGCACCTTCACGGCCACGGCAAACCCAAGCCCCATACTTCAGACAGTTTGAGAGTTTCAACTGTCTGATTCTCTAGAACCTAAAGTAGGGAGTGGCTTGTATAAATCAGCACTCTCTGAATTTTTCTTGGGATGGATGAAGAAAAAAATTTTGCCTGTCTGAGGAAACCTAACCTTAGAATCTCTCTAGGAGCTGACTAGGTTAGCATTACACGCCTAGTATACTCATGTAAGCCTTTTGTTTTGCTATCCTGACCTAGTGTCTTGAATTCCTATATAACATTTTTCTAAGAATAGAAAAGAACCTAAAAGTTTTGAGCACCACCTCTCTCCCAGTGACTATTCTAGACGCAGATGCTCACTAAATTCTTTTAAGAAAAGTAACCTTAGGGCCAACCCCGTGGCTCACTCAGGAGAGTGAGGCTCTGGTAGCTCTGAGGCCACGGGTTCAGATCCTATATAGGGATGGCTGGTGCACTCACTGGCTGAGCGTGGTGCAGACAACACCGTGGTGGGGGTTGTGATTCCCTTACTGGTCAAAAAACAAAACAAAACAAAAAAAAAAAAAAAAAAAAGGCGTGGTGGGGGTTGTGATTCCCTTACTGGTCAAAAAACAAAACAAAACAAAAAAAAAAAAAAGAAAGAAAGAAAAGTAACCTTATAAAGTAAGTACTGTTATCCCTTTTTTACAGATGAAAAATCTGAGGCTTAAAAAGTTACAGGAACTTGCCCAAGATTACAAAAGTGAGTGAGTGGAATGGCCAGGCTTTGAATCCACATCTGTGGCACGTGAATTGTTCTCAAAACTTGCTTTTGGAGGCTACCCATTCCTGGTGTGCTCTATTACCCAACTTAGTGTACACACTTGATTGTAGGAGCCAGTGGGAATAGTAACTTTCTCCTATCCTGCACCCTTCTTCACAAGTGCACATTACAATGCCTTTCCAAAGCAAAGAGAAGAAATAAAATATAATAACATCTAAAAACTGGGTTATTCTGCAAGATCTGCTGAGTTTCATATCTTATTTAGTGTTATGTTAGTAGGGGCTGGAAATTTGGTCAGGAAGTATGAGAATAAAATACAGAGGGATGAAAGAAAGGTTACAAGATGAGAGCAAAACTACCTCCAGACCGTAAAAAGAGAATCTCCGGAATAAATACTTGGAATATGCTGCTTAGGGCAAAACTAACAATGACAAAAAGGAAATGCATTTGAGACAATTAGAAGAACATTTGTATACTGCCACCCACATACCTGTAAACAGCTACTTTTCCTGTTCCGAATGCGCCCACAATCAAATCTAAAAAAGACAAAAACATAAAACACATGCACAGATTTTATAGGGGCAATCTGCTGAGCTCGTAACCATTTATAGCACCTAGAGCATCCTCAGCTGCTGATTGCAGAGTGAGAGCCATAAAATAAGAAGAGCAAATCACACCTCTCTCAAGACATTTGGAAACAATATTGGAGCCCAACTATCACCAACTCGATATGACATGTAAATCAGGAGGTCCCAAGCCCTCCTGCACTGAGGACAGCCAACATCCTAGAAATGCTTAAGAAACTCATCATAACATCATTTTTCCTATCCTCCAGACTCAAGGCACATATCCCAAAGAAAAGGGAAATTGTCTTATTGCTCCTTTACCAGCAAAACCCTCTAAAGCAAGGATTATTACCCCTGATGTGGAACATTCTGACGGTCATTTTGACAGAACCATTTGCCCTTTACAAATACAGTCGCCCCTACCCTCCTATCCATGGATTCTCCATCTGTGGATTCAGCCAACCCTGGATGAAAAATATTAGAGAAAAAAAATTACATCTGTATTAAACATGTACAGACTCTTTTTTCCTTGTTATTATTCCTTAAACAATACAACAACTATTTTCATAGTATTTACATTGCATTAGGTATTATAAGTAACCTCCAGATGATTCAAAGTATACGGGTGGATGTGCAGAGGTTATATGCAAATATTTCTTTGTTTTTTTTTTTATCAGGGACTTGAGCATCCAAATTTTGGTCCTGGAACCAATCTCTCATGGATACCAAGGGAAGACAGTAGTGTAGATGGTGAGTATACTTTTGGCAAAGTGAATAGTAGCATATGGAATAATTGATATATCATTACAATGACCTTAAATAACAATAACAATAATAAATAGCATATATTGAATGCTTACTCTACACAAGAATTCTTCTAAACAATTTAATTGATTTCAAACAAGAAGTTAGGAAGTCTCTATTATTAGCACAATTTTGCAGTAAATTAAGATTTAAGATGGGTAAACAATAAATTCATCGAAGTTCACACAATTAGATAAGAGGTAAAGGTGGATTACAGCAATTTGAGGGGTAATGCTCACAAATATCTCAGTGATTGATAATATATAGGTAAAACTAACTTTCTTAACAATGTTTATTCTTGTGGAAGCAATCAAGCAAAAATAAAAAGGACAATGGCTAAATCTGCAGAGTAAAATTTAAATGTAAGAAAACTGGACTTGGTAGAAACAAGGACCATGGAAGAAAACTTGCAGCAGTTGAAACTATAATTGACTAATTTTAGCAAAACAAATGAAAATAGAAAAAATACGAAAAACAAAAAGAAGGGGGTGGAGTTTTATTTGGTCATTCCATATGAAAAACTGATTGAGGAATTAAATTGGTATAATGGAGTTTGCGGAGAATTTGAGAGACACCCTGCCAATGTAATGAGGAAGAGGCCTTTCCTTTAGAAACTTTAATTCTTGTGCCTTAGGGTGGGAATTTTCCTACTCTGGAAAAATAAAATAACTGGCAAAATAGGCCACAATTTTCTTCACGAGAATGTGGCCACAGTTATTCAGAGGCTAAGAAAACAGTTATCTCCCACAAAAGTATGTTTGTCTTTGGAGACACTACCTTGGTATTGTGCCTGCTGGAAAAGGCCAGAAGCATTTATACAAGCAGGACCTTAAAACTGTCAGATCTCTCTAGAGGAGGAGAATTGATTTGCATTTCTAACCAATTTGTCTTTCCAAATATGTGACTGGTTTTGATGAGCCCCATGTAGTTTCCATATACAGTTTCCATATATACACACACACATAAGACATTTGTGTGTGTATATATATATGTTATACAAGGATACTTCAAAAAGTTTGTGGAAAAATAGAATTAAAACATAATATGAATCTTTCCATGAACTTCTGAAGTACCTCATATATACATATAACATATGGAATATATATATTATACATATGAACACACATATATATTTATGTGTGAGTGTGTATACTTAAATAATATTTTTAAAAAATCTTGCATAATTCCATACTTATGAATTTAAATAATAGAGACAAAATAATTTTGTTCATGATATTTGGGTTCATAACTATACAAACATTTTTTCTCCCTTACTTTGAGATACCATCATCTAACTTTAACTTTCCTTTCTTATAAAAATTTCTTAAAGGCAGATTCTGAAAACAACCAAACGAAAAACTTTGCCTGTCTGTATACATAGGCACTTGGCTGGCATTTATATTTTCTGCAAAAAATAACTGGCAACTAAAATTGGTTCTTCCCCTCAATCAAAAAATGTACCTAAAGTGCTGGGGGCCTTTTTATTGCCTCCCATTGCCTGAGAAACATAGTTTATTTTCCTTTTGGCTGTTGATGGAACAACTGAGTACTTTTAAGGAAACTAAAAGGGGACATTAGCATGAATGCAGGATCAGTTGGCAAGAAAAAATAACCCCCAAAATGTGAGGGCATAGGAGACATATTACATCTAGGTTTTGTATTTTATTCCTCCCCAATTATTATTTTTAAATGAGGAAGGAGAGAAGAGCCAAGCCTTGAAAGTGGTGCTTGGACTGCTGAGTTTGGTTCCACTAACCCACTAAGGGAATTTTAGAGCTGGAGGAAGTTCTGCTGGAAAACATCAGCTTGGTTCTGAGTGTGGATCTGAGGTTTGGGTTAGGGGGTGAGGTGCAGTGAGGAGATGGGGAGTGAAAGCTTCCTAGGAGAGGGGCAGACAGAAAGGAAAGACAGGAGGAAGAGAGGTGACAGGAGTAGACTCAAGAGTCACCCAGAGTCATCGTGTGGGAGAAGCCTCTCTGACCACATGCCACACACCTGTGTTCTGTAGGCTGAGTCAGCCCTTCTTACCTGTTACCTTCTCTCTGGCACCTTCTGCTCACCTCTTACTTTCTCATCTTGTTGAGAAATATACTAATGCTGGAGTCTGTGGCTGCAGATGCCGTCAGACACTTCCTTTTTGATTTTGGAATTAAAGAACATTTTCTATTTTAGAATAATTCAGGACAATGAGAAGTGCCTTAAAGAACTTCCAAATAAATGAGAAACGGGAATACAAATTTAATAGTTAAATGAAAAGATGATGATTAATCAAAAGGGAAGAGCTCCTTAAACAAAGGAATTTCAAAATCTAAATGTCCCTAGCAAAATAACTTGAGCAAGAAAGAGAAATGAAAGAAACGGGGAAATGAATATAACATGTATGCCTGATCAAGTGTTAATATCCTTCAATGCTTAGAAGAATCTTTTGCACTTAGGAAAAATTAATGTTAACATTTATTATTATGCCCACTGTGTAACAAATTCATAAAAATTAATAATAAAACTATTAACATTCTAATAAAAAGATTACAAGCAGGCAATTCACATAAAAATAAATGCCTATGACCACTGAAGATATGAAAAGATGTTCAATCTCATTAGTTGACTAAGGGATCTAAATGAAAGAAATAATGAGATACTATTTTTAATCTTTTAAATTGGAAAAGATGAAAAGATGAGCACAAGCAGCGTTGGGCAGACAGCAAAGATTCAAGAACTCATATGCTTTATTCGTGGGAGTATAAATTGGCATAATCTTCCTGGAAGGTAGCTGGTTGCTGTATATGACAGTACAAACCTCTCACTCACCATTTGTGCTTCTAGGAATTTATCCTGAGGATATACTGGACAATTGTGCAAAGATGTATCAAACAAAAGCTAACATTCTGAACATTTTAAATATAATCAACTACTTCAATTGTTATAACAATCTCATGGGGTACATACTTTTATTATCTCTGTTTTAAAATGAGGAAAATGAGGTACAGTGAGGTTAAATACAATCGGCGGCAAGACCAAGCTTTAAACCCAAGCAGTCTGGCTGTGGGGCCCACACGCTTACCTATTTTACCACACTGCCTCCTAGGAGCATATCCACATGCTGTTTTTTCTCCTTAATTTTTTAAAAAAAAATTATGGTATATTTTACTGAGTAAATTTCATCCTATTTGGTATACAGATCTAAGAGCTTGGATAAAGCATCTAATCATGTAAACATTGCCACAATTAATATATAGAACTGTCCCATCCTTCCAAATGTCCCGCAGGCCCTTT